GCTTTTTTAAAGTTTAGACTGAAAAGATGATTGATTAATTAGTCGGACTAGCTATATTGTAGGCCGACTTTAGTTTTATCTTTTTGCCAATAGAATTGCACTACTCATATATTTATTATATGACTTAGATAGAACGCGCGCGGTTCCGTCTTTTTCCGTATCCGGACTGGAAATTGCTAATTTGATGGTCGCGCAGTAAATTGAACCGAGGGAATCAAGACAACTTTGTTTATCARATTTGAGACTTTCTTTRCAATAAAAAAAWTYAAAMAAAATCCAYTTTTTTAATCATCTGAAAGAAAGATGGCTCAATTTCAACTTCTCCCGCCTTTTTGCCCGCGCTCGCGTCTTAGCACTTKRCTTTCCCGCTCTTTTCCGAGTTGACCGTACAGTTGTATTCAATACCAGCGGCATCAATCCAGCTAGTTAGAAATGCTCGATAAGTATTCACCACAATTTAAAGATAGCCCRAAAAGGATTATATTGGAAGAWAAACTCAATGAAGTTCTAAAAGCTCAAAGGAAGCCAGAACATAAATCAAACTACTCAAAACAAAAGTGAAAAGCCGAAGGGATTCAACCTGTCATTTTACTACTCAGATTGTGAGATATCGTGAGAAAAGCGGCGCTATGATAGAGGGAGGCAACGTGTCATCATTAATTATGAACTAAAATGGCAGGTGAGTGAAAGGGCAGCTTGAAACAAGACCAAACATTTGTCATTTCCTCTCACTTACCAGTGACTAGGGATCGAATCTTTGATATCCAATTAAGAGACATCAGGGTTCTATTTCCGAAGGATTATTAGAAAAGACTGAATTATCAGGCTGCATAAATCACTCCGGAGTAAAAGTACCTGAGATGATCGTCAGAAATTTTCAAAAAGCGTCCTAAATGATCCCGGAAGTCTTGAAAAAAGGGCGTGGCAGACTGACTTTTAACCCCTAAGAGATTGCGCAACAAATATTGTTAAATTAAATCACTTTCAATGATTAAATCCATAAAATATTTAATGACAAAACAAAACACAGAATTCAGTACCGATGCGTTCTTTCTCTTCTTTTCCGACACCCTAAGAGATCGCAGGAAACTCAAACTTTTACCGCTGAGAGATCCGACGATCGCGAACATCCCAAATACTTTCACTCCAGAGTAAACACTATAATTGTACTCCTCTCGACCAATGAAAAAGAATTAGTGTTGATTGTGCTATAAAGCACTGAAAGCCCTGGATGAACGGCTGAACGTACATGGGAATTAGACACTGGGGATGCGGAGATGAAATGAAAGGCACTGTCTAGCGTTTACAGGGAGTAAGAAAAAGCACTCGCAAAACAGAAAACACGACTTCGTTTAGAGTGCATGCATTAATCCACTCCGGCTCTCATCTAATCTTGTTTGTAGAATGGGAGGAAAGCCTCTTTACCTGGCAGAGTTTTATAACTATTGTAGGAGTTTCGCCAGTGCAGCAGGCAAAGCATTTATCTATGCGCGCGATGCCAATGAATATCTTAATGCACCTATCAATGAATGTTAAGCCCCCCCCCCCCCCCCTTCCCGTGGGGGAGGCTGGGTAAGGGGTGGGGATTTGACTTTTTTTTTCCTTTCCCTGTTGAAAGCCCCACTGTCTGGATGAAATTTTTAACCAAATCCAGTCAAAAAAACCCTACCTGTGGACCTGCTTAGTTGTCAAATGAGCAAAGGTGGGGCTCCAGACGATGACAAAACTGCATTTTTTTTATATCAAGTTCATCTTGAAATTTTTCTTATCATATAATGCCAATAACTTTATTGTTAACAGACTGACAACATACTGGAAAACATAGTCAATTTCGTATGAGTGGGAAACGTACGGAAGAAATTACCGCACGGTTACCGCACAGTTACCGGACCTGACCTGCACAATTTTTGTGAAGCAATGAGACACTAGAATTACAGTACGGTTACAGTACGATTACGGTTACAGTACAGTACCGTTCGTTTCCCACTCATACGAAATTGACTCTATTATATTACATATATCCAGTTGAGAAGCAGCTACACCTTATTCCCGGGTTTTTGGGTTTTTGGGTAAAGATAATATCAAACAAGATCAAGTTTTATTTCACAATTTGGTATCTTTCATAACAATTTGAACACGACCATGAATCAATGGGTCACAAAGAAATTGCGTAGTACCAAGCATCACAACAACCACATTGAATCCATGATAATTCATGTTCATCATCATCGATGACTAACTCGTCATCTGGTGGCCGGGTCAGACAGTACAAAAATTGAGTTGTTATTAAACATTGACCACGCTCAAACAATCATGTGGTTTCGAAATCTGTGGGGTTTCTTCAAACACTCGCCATGGTCACACACAGGGAGCCCAAGAGCATATATCGACGTTTTGAGCCGTATGAGATCCAAACTTGCCTACTTTTATCAGGAAAAGAAGACTTGGATGGAATTCAAGTGAGGAAATAATGAAATATGTAGCACTTTGCAACAATCAGATGCATTAGAACATTTTTGTGACTTCCTAAGCACTAGATTTACTTGCCCGTATTCCGTACCCACGGGCTGCATTTTAGACAATTATCGCCACCTTGGGGACAGCATAACATGGCAAATGCCCCACTATGGGGTGTCGAATATTGGTCTAATCCTCACCCCTTGCCCGGCCTCCGGGGGCTTAACATTGATAGGTGCATAACATTACACTACCCATTAGAAGCAGCGGAGATGATTGAATAATGTCACCATGTTGGATCAAAAGGAGATTTTGTGACCTTTTGTCTTCTTTACTTGCATAACACATTTGCAAAGGACTCCAACCGTTAAGAAGGACTCAAATTAAAACCAAATATCAAAGAGTACATTTGAGAATTTATCTCAAAATACTGCGCAGAAATTGTATCAGTGCGTTTCCATTTAGTATCGCTCGTTATATTTTGAAATTTGAATCTACTCGTTGCTCTCTAAAAAAAAAATAAAATAAAATAATTTAAAGTGTTTGTTGTTGTTGTTGTTTTTGCTGCTTTGTCGTTGTTTCCGTTTTTCCTTTGGCGCTGTTACAGCTGTTTGTTAGCTTTTATGTTTCTTATAGAGAAATTGTTATTGTATCATTTTCCTACTAGGCTTAGGTAATATTTCTAATTTGGGTTCACTATTGCACCATTGACTAAACACACAGGAAACCCAAGCCGGCGGGAGACTGGTACCCATTTATTTGTTGTACCATCAGTTGCATATAAACGATTGGAGATGATTTAGGGATGAAAATGTTTAAATTTTCTACGTGACATGAAAAATGTTCGTCTTGCAGTCACCTTTCAATTTTATCCAGTTTGCACTGTAAATGATGGTTGGATAAAAAAAACAATCTACTTTGTTCTCGAATTCATACAAAACATTACATCACGTGGTGGGTGGATACTTTTACTATTTTTGCCACCATAACTTTTCAACATGCTATAGGAGAGCCGCTTACGAGTGAGGTCAGCGAGAGATTGTGGATGAATGATTGATAAAGTCTGTGAACAATAAAAACAAATGTTTAGCAAAGTAAGGGCAGTAAGAGAGCTATACCCTCCCGGAAGTAAAGGTCAGTAAAGATGACATTATGCGTCTGAAATTTTCTTGCTCAAAATCGCTCATTGGATGAATCACCGTCGCCATCTTGAACGCGAGCATTTATCTAGGAAACTGGTAACTAATATATATTATTCGAAGGAAGAAGTAGAAGTAGTTTTTATAGCCTCCTAGAATGCTGTATGCTCGTCYAACCGCCTCGATTCAACGTTCACCGCAAAGTACAAAGAAGCAGCTTTGACATATATTTGATGGTATCTTGGGTTAATTTAAATTTCATATAGATCCCTTTAGAAACTAAGAAGGCTCGCTAAGAAGAATCTCTTGCCTTTAATCACTTAAATATTTGTTTTGTTATATGTTTATTTATAAAAGAAGTGATTTCTCATCTTATACATTTAATGACATCAGTTTTTTTCCTTCTATCTAAACTAATGATTTTTAAAGCATTGTATTTTATTGCTGCATATTTGATCTATAATTAACATTTCTATCAACTAGAGTAGTCCGTAGAACAATGAAACATCTTACAAGAGTTTCTTCATCATGACGACCACCATCATTAAAGCAGAATGTGTGAAGAATGGCTTTAATTGAATATCCCCTGAAACTTTGTAAAAATAAAAGAAATGTTAAAGTGCCTATGACGCCTGATACAATATAATTTTTGATTCTCTGTGAGCTGATTCTATATAAAGTAAGTAATTGAATGATGAATATGCCTTCTTTCAGTGTTGCGCCTTTGGGTTATGAAGGTTCAATCTTACAATACGCTGATGAAAAAGACGCCTCAAAGAAGGCTTTCATAGATATACGAACTTTGAGGGAGTCGCTTAAAAATGGTGGCATGATATAAAATGTATCGTAGGCAGGCAGGGAATAACCATATTCCTATATGGCGTTCATAAAATATTTTTGTGACACTGTTTGGCAAAATTCGTATATCTAATGAAACCTCCCTTGACGTCATTATCATCAGCATATTGGAAAATTAAAACTTCAAAACTTTAAGACGCAACACGGAAAAATAGAAATATTTCACCATTAAATTATTTACTTTATGTCAGAATCAGTTAATAGAAAATCAGCAATTATTATGTCAGGCGTCATAGGCACTTAAAGAATAAGAAATATATTGCAAGAAATAACTTTTATCATATCTATCGAAATACCTATATTTCTCCATTACGGAAAATTGATGTTTTCTCTAGTGAAAACTATAACATTCGAGATTTTTCTATATAGTGGAAGTAAGAAAAAAGTTCTTTTACGACATAATTTGCTTTCATATTTAATTATATGATAAACAGAATACTACATGGTCGCTTGGAGATACAAATTTTATTATAAAATCCGTATCTCCGCGCGCCCATGATGCAATATCCTCTATATCTTATTTGATATTTACAAATGAAAAGTTACCTGTATGGGAGAATGTATTGGAGCGATGGACACCATCCATCTCAAAGTGCGCATTGAAGCCCTTGTGCACGGTTTGTGCATTGTCATCACTAACGAACAATACAGCCATCTCATTGGACAAGGAAAAGATCGGCTTTTGTGGAATGGTACTACCACAGAACCGACCAAGTAACTCACCGTTCCATCCCGCGGGCTTCCAATCTCTTATTTCGACGAAGTCGTTGAGGCAGTAGTTGTCATTCTCTAGCTCAAAAGCCTTAAAGGTGAGTTTGACGCGAAATCCATTGGGAACAATGAGGCGCCACATTATACACTGACCTGGAATGTATTTTAATGGGTACTTGG